GAAAAAAAATAGAAAAAAAAATCTAATATTTTTTCTTTCTATAAACTATATAATTATAAGATTTAGATTAAAAATCTAAAAGAAGCTAAAAATATTAGATACTAATTTCTTTAATAATAGTTTATTTAATAATAGTTTATTTAATAATAGTTTATTTAATAATAGTTTATTTAATAATAGTTTATTTAATAATAGTTTATTTAATAATAGTTTATTTAATAATAGTTTATTTATATAGTTTATTTTAATAATAGTTTATTTAATAATAGTTTATTTAATAATAGTTTATTTAATAATAGTTTATTTAATAATAGTTTATTTAATAATAGTTTATTTAAAAGTTTCTAGAAATTAAATATTTTTTAGAAAATAATTTAATTAGAAGCTTTATTAAAATTAGTTAAATTTCTTTTATTTTATTAGTTTTTTTTATAAAAATAAATAAATAAAGATTTATATTTTTATATTAATTTCTGCTATTTAAATAATATTATTTAAAAGAATTAATATTTCCTTTTATTTATTAATAAAACTTTAAATTAATTATTTAAAGCTAATATTTATATTAAATTAAATATTTATTAAGCTTTCTATTATATAATTATAAACTCAGACTTTTAGAAACTAATAATATTTTATATTTATTATAAAATATATAAATATAATATTTTCTAAAAAAAGTCTTATAAATATTTTAGCTATATATTAATATTATATAAATAATATTTTTTTTAAAATATTTAAATAACTTTTATATAATATATTTTAATAATATTTTTATTTATTTAAAAAATCTAGTAAAATATAAATAATATATATAAAAAGTACTAGATTATTTAAATTTTATTAGCTTTTAAATAAATATTAAGAAATCGAAATTTAAAATTATATATATAAAATATTTAAATTTTATTATTTTTATATCTAATATTAAAATAAATTCTAATAAAATTAAAATAATATATAATTAATAACTTTTAAAAATAATTAAAAATATATAGTTTTTTTTTAGCTTTTATAATTTCTATGAATTCTTTATTAGAGAATATAAATAAATTACTAAATTCTTTATTTTATTTATAAAAAAGAATATTTCTTTTAAATAATTCAAATAATATTAAAAGGCTTTTAATTAGTTAAAAAATACTATAATTTCTTTTCTAGCTCTATAATATAAAAATAAATATAAATATATTTAAAGAAATAATTACTAATTTATTTTTTTAATTAAATTTAGAAATAGATTTTTAATATTTTATAATTTACTTTTCTAAAATTATATTTAAAAATAAGCTTTAAAATAGCCTATAAATAAAAATAAGTTATTATTATTAAGACTTTATTATATAGAATTATTCTATTAAGTATTATTAATAAGTTTAAGCTATTAGCTTAAAAGAATTATAAATATAATTCTATTATTATTAAAGCTAATTACTTTTATTTATATAAGCTTTATAAATAGAAGTAAGCCTTAGAAGAGCCTATAAAAGAAAAGAGAAAGCTTTATATCTAAAGAAAAAGTTATTTTCTTAATCTTAAATCGAAATTAGAATAAAATTAAAAACTGGCCCTAAAGCTTATATAAGACTACTAGGCTTGAATTTTAGTAAAGTAGCCCTAATCTCGTATTTATAAAAAATAAAAAACTATAAAACCAAGGCTATAAATAATTTCTTTAATAATTATAATTAATTAATATTTATCTAATATAAAAGGAAATTAATACTTTTTAAATCTTTTATAAATCTTTCCGGTTTCTAATAATAATTATAATATTTAGAAATATAAATTTAGAAATATAATTAGATTTCTTTCTTTATTTTATTAAATAAAGAAATTAAAAATTAAATAAAACTATATTATATTATTTTTAAATTAAATTCAAATATATAATTATAACTAAAATTAAATATAAAGAAGTTTAGAAACAGAATTATAAATTAAATAATATATAAATTAAGTATTATTTATAAATAAAATAAGTTATAATTTCTAGATATAGTAAATATAAAAGTATTTAAATTAAAATAATAATTTAAACTTAAAATAAAACAAAAAAATATAATTTAAAATAAAAATTATAATATTATTACTTTTAAAAATAAATAAAAATTATAATATTATTACTTTTAAAAATAAATAAAAACTAGTTATTATTATATTTATTTTATTATATTATTTATTTAATAATAAATATATATTTAATTAAAAGTAATTATAAGGCTATTTATTATAGAATAATATTTAAAAACTGCTTTTTAAAGTTATATATAATTACTAATATTAAAATTAGCTTTATAAAATACTTATTATATAAATATTATTTTATTAATTTTTAGTTACTACTAATTTAGTAAATTTATATATAAATTAAATTAGTAATAGAAAGAATTTATAAAATATATAGCCTAAATAAAGTATTTAAATATTACTATTTACTTTATTATAATAAAGTTTAAAATTAGCTTTAGTTATAAATTCTTAAAGATTTTATTTTAATTTATATTTTATATAATACTAATTCTTTATAGCTAGCCTAATTTAAGAACTTATATTAGTATTTTACTTAAAATAAAAACTTCTATTTAAGAATCTAGTTCTATTACTAGCTATTAGTATTATTTCTATTATAATTATAAAGTATATAGAGAATATGGCCAAAAGTCTTATAATTATAAAAGAATATATTATAAAAGCAGAAATAGTTTAAAAGGAAATACTAGTATATTTTAATTAGTATTATCTAATTTAATCTGAATTTCTTATTCTTTTTCTAGTACTTTCTTTATACTTATTACCTCTTTTATAATTAATTATTTTCTTTATATATTCTAAAATTCTCTTTATTTATTTCTAGATCTTTAATTATAGAAGCTTTTTCTAATATTCTAGCTAGTTCTTTTTTAATTACTTCTTACTATTTATTATATCTTTCTTTATTATCTATCTCTTTATCTAAAACTAGTAAGGCTTAATTATATTAAAATATAATAAATTAGCTAGCCAAATTAGCTTTATAATTTCTTATAAATTATAAATTATAGCCTAGTAATAATATATATATACCGGTATATTATTCTTTTAAATAATTATATTAGAATAAGCTAGCTTATATTTCTTTATAAAAAGCAAGAGCTTCTTTTTAAGAATTACTTTCTAATATCTATACTAATTAATTTCTTTATAATAAGCCTTTCTCTCTAATTTGCCGGTTTTAATATACTATTTCTACTTTGGTTTTATTTCTTCTACTTTCTTTAAAAGCCTTATTTTTCTTATTACTATCTCAAGCTCTTATTCCTTTCTCTTTCCTGCCTTATTCTTCTTATTCTCCTTATTTATATACTTTTTTGCTTCTTTCTTCTCTTTTACTATCTCCTCTTTTTAAATATAATATAATTCCTTTTTATTATATATAAAATAACTCCAAAATATGAATTATTTAAAGCCCTTTTAATAATAATATATATAATAATATTTGTAAGCCTCTCTACTCGTTTTCTATACTCTTATATAACTTCTTTGTCCTTTTTAAGTTATATTTATTTTATTTGACTAAATCACATTTTTCTAATTCTTAAATATCTAGTTCTTATAGTCCAAATACTATTCTAATCTCTTTAACTTATTCTCATTTATTAAGCCTGGTTTTATAGTAGGCTTATAAGGCTTATAGCCCTTATAGTAAAGAATTTAGTAAACTATATATATATAGAGATCTCTTTATAGACGAGAGAAGAAACGAGATTAGTAATTACTTGAGTAGATAATTAATAAGTAGTCGAGTTTTTTGAAATTATATTAATTACTCGCTTTTTCACCTTTAATATAATCTTCTTTAATCTACCGGCTCGTAGTATATCCTCTATATATACAAGGAGAATCGTAGGGCTCGTTTCGGGAGTATAGCCTCGTTCCTTGGTTCTCTTCTCAATTCGTCCAATTATAGATTTATTCAAACCAGTTTTGCTTACAATTTCTGTAATTGGACGCTTTAACTAAAGTATCGTAAGCGCTTGCGCGTGTGTGGCAGGGTCGTACGGCTTATTTGAGGCTATTATAAGGTTCAATGGAGAGGATAAAGTGGGTAAAAAGAGAGATAGTATAGTAGAAAAAAGGATAATTGGGTAAAAAGGGAGTTTGGAATAGCCTAACTGGGAAGGACAGGGGCCCCTGCCACCCCCTTGCAGTGGCGTACGCCAGTTACAAGACTTTTGGCCGCGTCCTCCGTACCACATAATCAATCAGTCAATCACTCAATCGGCAGCACCATGTGAGAGACAGCTGAACTTCTGCTTGAGCTCGGCGGCGGGGTAAGGCTACTCCGGATCTTTTTGAGCGAAAGGGGCAACGGGGACTTTACAACTGGCTGCGTACTCGGTGAACATAGCATTGTCACATTGGGCAGCAATTCAAGTCGTGGTTTGATGCCTCTCTTGCAGTTAACCATATCATCATGCATATTTAGCTAATCATTGGTTTTCATGATACCACGTTACAATCCCTTTTAGCGAGGCAGCTTTGACAGTTTATGGTAGGTCCAGTGCATCTAATTCTATGCCAATACTTTTATTCTAGGAGGTATCTTGATGTGGAAAGACTCATGATTGGTCATTTCAGCCTGCTTCGCCATCTTTGGGCTTCACCGCAATTCCATATTCTGGAGAGCTGAGGGCTGCTCTGCCTCTGCACAGCCTTCGCAGAGCCTTCTGATGGGGGCGTTAATGACTTAATAAGAAGCCCTGCTCGAGTATTGTGGTTTAGGTCGCCTCGAATCTTCTGTTATTGCTGGCAGTTTCCATCTTTTGAGTTTCCTTAGACGTCTTCTCGAGCTGCTATTTACTTTGGGAACTATTCGTTTGTCAACTAGGTGTGGTGTATTTTGAGGTTTTCTATGACCAGTATTAGCACATTAAGAACTGACTTTAAGGCATAGTTAAAGATTAATAAACACATTCAAAACGGGTGTGACTCTAAGAACTTGATCAAACGTAGGAATGACAACCGTCGCCACGGAAGTGTTGCCTTCTGTCTCCTGGCCAGAATGGTTCAACACTCGCCAAAACGTTGACCTCGCCATCGAAAATACACCCTACATAAACGCTTCAGTCACTGAATTGGGAAACAGCGATGGCCCCAATTACATCCGAACCCCTAGAGGGGAAAATCTGCCAGGTTCCGAAAGCTTGCTGCAATATCTTCGTCGAAGCGAACTACTTGGCAACTTTTGTGGCCAAATAAATCTAAGAGACTTAGAGAATGGAACAACAGAAAACACGACGAAATATGTTGCGTCGCTGGATGACAGAAACTCTGCTGGTGTTCTACCTCTTGCTCGTAGGCAATGTCGACCATATAAAGGGCCTCTGACGCAACATGGACTTTATCAAGAACTAAGGAGAAAGGTATACCAAAGCTACGCTCATATCGATTCATGCACCCCCTAGTACAAAAGTACGGAAGTTCTGACATAATGAATAGAGGTTTAGAGTGGATGATGAAGGCAAAACCCAACAAACGGTTGACGATGCGCTCGAATCTGATATTGAAAGACGGTTTCTGTAAGCTATTCTACCTCTGATTTCTTTCTTTTTACCGCCTTTTTGTTAATATATCCAGCAATATCATAAATATGGACCGATGGGGCGCTGTAGCACTTATAGCAACAGCGTCCGCAACCCAAATCCAAGCTTTAGGGACTGCAATTGAAAACTATCTTGCATTCCAAGCGTCAGTCCGTGTAACTATTCCTGTTAGTATTGCCAGTCTTTGAGATTATCATTCTATCTTAGAAATATATGCTAATATATATACGATAGTCTTCCTTGCCTCATATCTTTGCTCTGGAATTCCATATTCCATATTATGGACTACGAATTCATAATAGTTTAGTCAACGACCCTCGTAAAAGATCGGATGGAAGCCCTTTAAGACATTCCTGGAAGCTGCCCTTCCCAGAAACACTTTCGATGCCCTATCATACTCCAACTGGGACTTGTTGTCTCTATGAGGCACAATTATCCGTCGCTGTGATAGGGCTTGATCGTTGGACTTGGATCGCGTACGCTTTTGATGATACGTATTTCGATTACGACACCTTAGAGCCGTTCACCCAATTCACGGCCCAAATACGACCGTCTCTCATTTCTCCACGTGATGGAGATGAGCCTGTTTGGACGCCGAGGGAGCACTTTTTGAAAACAGTTGAGATCAAAACAAAGCAGGTAGTAAAGGAGTGGGGGAGCATAGTCCAAAAGTTGCAGGAGATCGTCCGATGGTAATATGACGTTTTCAGCTTTCCGTGTGCATTTCTCTAGACTTGTTACCCAATTTGCAAGCCAACAGGCTTGTGTGCTTACCTGAATGCTAATATTTCAAATAAATAGTTCGAGAATGACGAATGGATTCCAGTGGTCTTTAACCAGATCCGGGTTTACAAACTATTCTAAGCAAAGCGCACAACACACCACGTGGATAATTTCGATGACCAATATATTGAGGCAGGTACTAGACAGTCTCTCTAGGACAAATCGTGCTTGGGATATGTTTTACCGGAGCGATATTCGGTACTTCTTGCACACTCAGGCCTCTCTAGACAACACACCAACTACTTTCATTCCGCTTCATAATATACAAAGATTGTTCCTAGATCTGAAAGGGTTTGAGCAAGATTTACAGGACTTGGAGAGAGAACTTTCAGAATCCGTATGTTACTTCCCTGGGCTAAGCAGCATACTATTGGAAAGTAGCTCTTGGCATGCGCATTGGCTGACTAAGACAGTTCAAACTTCAAGCATCTATTGAAAGGATGGATATTATGAAGCTTCAACGAAGTGACACAAAGAACAGCTCATTGAACGCTACCTACAACGTAGTAAGTTCAGCTGCGAATTTTGTGGATACCAAGCCTACGCATGCTAACTTTGTGCTACTCTAGGTGTTTTTCCCCGTCGTCCTCACAGTAGGCATTTTGAACGTTGCACCAGGAGCACTACCTTTTTCGCCATCCTTTATTACCTTCCTGCTAATGGTTTTGTTATTTTATTTTCTCATGTTTTTTGCACAAACTTTATTTTTAACACGTCGGAGGGTTGTGATTTATAATGGAATCTGCGCCTCAATCAGGAGATGCTTTTATCGAAAGTATAAAGAAGCCGAGCTCAGAAAGCTTCAAGACCTTGAGGTTGGAAGGGATTAACCTATCGTCTCACAGCTGGCCTATCTCTTAGAAGTCACGTGATTTTCGAGCAGGGATCTGAGTGGATGAATAGCGCCTAGAAAGGGCTAGCCATAGAGGGTTAGGGCCATAGAAAATGTGCGTTAAAAATAAAATCATAGAGTGTACGCAACTAAAGCCGATTTCGAATTCTATAATATATATTAAAGAAGTATAAAAGCCTAGAAGCTATATGAAATAAGTTATATAATAATAAGTCATATATCTTATATATAACTAGAAATAGATTATATTTATATGAAAATCTGTTTATATAATACTTATTAGTTTAATTAAATTTTTGAAATATTAGAACCGAAATTTAGTTTATTAATAATTATTAAAATAAAATAAAATTAGCTATTATATTTCTTTTTATTATATAATTATAACCCGTAATTCTCTTTATTATTTCTATTTAAAGATCTAATAATAGCTAAATATAATATTTTATTTATAAACTAATAAATAAATAAAGAATTTGAATCAAATTTTAGAATAATATTTAAGATTATATATTAGCTATTAATAAAATAATTAAATAATAAAGCCTGTTTTTATAAAATTTATATTTAATAAATAGAAATATTTCTATTTTATATATTATATATTAAAAATAATATATAAAAAAAAGAAATATTAATAATATAAAAAAATATATAAAAATTTAAATAAAATAAAAGATATTAAAGAAATAATAATAAATAATAAATATAAATAATAAATATAAATAATAAATATAAATAATAAATATAAATAATAAATATAAATAATAAATATAAAAAATAAATAATAAATATAAATAATAAATATAAATAATAAATATAAATAATAAATATAAATAATAAATATAAATAATAAATATAAAAAATATATATTAATATAAATTTTGAAATATAAATTTTGAAATATAAATAATAAATATAAATAATAAATATAAAAAATATATATTAATATAAATTTTGAAATATATAATAAAGTTATATATTATATAAAAAACATTTAATAGTTTTATTTTAATATAAAGCTAATAAATAAATATTTCGGCTTTTTTAAAATTTTAGAAATTATAAAAATATATAAATAAATATATTATTTAAAATTACTATTATTATATTATATTAAATTTATAATATTTTCTATATTTCTTTCTTAAAACTATAATATTTATAAGCTAGTATTATAATAAAACTAGAACTAGTTAAAATTAAAAATAAAAAAGAATTTAAAATAAAATCTATTATAGTTTATAAAAAATAAATAAAAAAGAATTATTTTATTTATTAAAAAAACTATTTACTAGTAAATAATATATAGAAATTATTAAATAATTTAAAGAATATAGTTTAAAAATTATAATAATATAAAAAATAAATACTTTTATTAAAAAACTCTTTAAAAAAATTATATATTTATTTTTGAAAAAATTATATAAAAATTATTAAAAATTCTAATTTCTATATTTTATAAATATTTTACTTTTATAATTATTTATTATTATTATTATTATTATTTATTTAATTGAATTTTAATTAATTTAAGCAAATTTAAAAGCTATTTTAGTAATTTAATTTAAATATTAAATCTAGCTTCGGCTCTATTACTAATTTTATATTTTATTATATAATTTATTTTAAAACTTAATTATTAGTTTAATTTTTTATAATATTTTATTACCTTATTTTATTTAAAAACTTATATATTAATTTCTTTTTTTCTTTAAAATATCTTAAGAATTCTTTTATTTAAACTAATAATAATTAAATTAATATTTTCTTTCTTTTAATAAAAGGAATTATAAGTAATATAATTTTATTTCTTTATAAATTATATATAAAAATAATATTCTTTATAAATAGTTCTTTAATAATTCTAGAAATAGAAAGATTTCAAGAAAAAAGACTTTTAGAATTATAATAAATTCCTGAAATAAAAATCCTAAAAGTTTATAAGCTAATAAAATTATTTTAGCTTCCGGAAAAAAAGATTCTAGAAGTAGTTTAATTCTCGAAATATTCTAGTATTCTTATATATAATACTATCTTATCTAATTTAATTATATTTCTAATCTAAATATATTTCTAATATATTAAATTGTTTTTAAGATATTTAAAATATTTAAAATATTTTAAATAAAATATAAATAAAATAATATTTAAATAATTTAAGTAAAATAAAATATATATTTATAAATATTTATAAATTATTAGTAATTATTTATTATATAATTATAATAAATTATAAATATTATTTATTTAATAATTATATAAATACTTAAATAAATCTTATTATAATATATTACTCTTATATAAAAGATTTCTATTACTTATATATTAATATATTACCTTATTAGTTATAAATCCTTATATTTAGCTAGCCTAATATTCTCCTTAATATTTCTTATATATTCTATATAAGGAGGATATCTTTCATCTTGTATCCTCCGTATAACAAATCAACCAAGACTTCGCCTCTCATATACCCGTCGATATAGCACTCTCCCACAAGCTCAAATGTGCCCTTTTCTTGATTAACTGACCGCAATACTAACGGGATGCCGCAACCAAGAAGTACGCAGACCAAGTCTCCCTTTCTCGCCTCCCGCGGAGCTGTTCCAAGCAAACCATTATTCGTCACAATGAGTCTTTTCCCCATGTGAGACGTCGTGTCTCGTGCTCGGGCGCCGAAACTTTCGCAATCGGAGATATCCCCCACATCTTGCAAGCCAAGCACCGGTCCATTACTCAACATCTTCTGACAAAGTCTCGACAGCATATCCTTGCCTTTCGCAGAGTCACCAATATGCAACACGGCTTCCTTTAGTGTTCGTCCACGGATGAGAAGCGATTGGTTTCGGTTAAACCAATCCGCGAATGTGTCATGCACATCCTTAGGACTCTTGACTGCTGCTTGGCAGAGAATCCGAAACTCTCGAGAGAACTTGTCTCGGGGTGCAGGGTATCGGAAGTATCTATCCTTACGGTCAAGGACAAGGCAGCGTGATATGGCATCCATAAGAAGGGAGCACCCATCCCCAATATCCGGAGCTGTGGCATCATGAGGTACTATAACCTTACCCGAAAGTGGAATATTTCTTGGCGTAGTCGACTGGATGAGGTCTTCCGGTGCACGTTGCTCCTGATGTACGCCGCCCAGGCCATCGATATAGTCGAGACAGATGCCGGTACAGGTCATTTCTAGGAAGTCATCAGAAAAAGATATCTTCGGAAGATGGTGTCCAGAAGCAGCGTAGATTGCGGAAAAGTCGGCCGAATCTACAGGTCAAAAGTTGCCAATATGCGCACTTGAGCTTTGGCTCGCCATACAAGTCACTGGAGGAGTTCTCAGGAGTTGAATACTCCAGTCTGGAGCCCATGAAGCCAGTTGCCCCTCTTCCTCTTCGTTCAGCGATCTCTCTCCGTCGGCTTTATTGCTCCGAAGCCATGGAGCGAGACAGATAATATCCAGACTCTTGTGCGTTCTTGTGAACGACCGCACAAACTACGCATAGACGAGACTAGTGGGAGACTGGTAGTCGGGCCTACCAACGATTTTTCTATCTTTAGCGGCGACGACTCCGAGCAACGAATACAGTCTATCCTTCTTATCGGTGGCACGTAAGGTGGCGGTGTAAGCCATAGTGCCGACGAGAGGCATGTTGTCCTTGATCTGGTCGTACCACTCCAACAGCCGAAAGCGATTCCAGGCCTTCTCGTAAACCCTTCTCTGGATGAGCGAGTTGTCGCGCTGCTGCCATCTCCAGACCCCAATCACACCAGCATGCATGTCTTCGCGGGTAATCGTACTGCGCCCACAGTAGAAGGCAGCCTCCTGACATAGGAGGAACTCCTGCAGCGTCCACATCCGCTCCCACCACTTCCTCGAGAGCAGACTCTCCACGGCCTTCCAGCTATTCTTTCTGCTCTGAATTTGTTTCACCTGCGCCGGGCTCATGGAATCCTGCCACCCCAAGTCGTGGAGAAACTTGATAGCTTCTGCGCTGTCTTCATACTCCTCTCCCAGCCATATCACGGTGGCCCGGGCAGCGATCTGGTAGATCCTTCCCATAAGCTCAACCTGGGTGCTTCGTTCTATCTGGTCCTTCTGGTTGATGCAGATTGAATCCATCCACCACCACGTGGTCTCGGATGGAAATTCATCCTGGCGGTGAGGGGACACCATCTCCTTGAGAAGAGAATGCGCGCTTCGGGGTATGGCGGTGCGATGATCATTGAGGAGGATAAAATTAGATTCTTTCTTAGAATCTTTCTTAGAATTCTCTTTAGAATTCTTCTTGGAATCTCCCTCGGAGTCCCATGTGTACGAAGTGGCGATAAACGAGGGGCAGTTGTCGGCTCCGAGGGAAAAGTTTCGGAGGGTGGCTAAGATGGTGCCATCTCGCAGGAGACTCAGTTGGAACAGACGGATTTTGTCGCCGCTGATCGGAGGATGGCACAGAGCGAGCATTGCATCCTGGCCGGTTTCCCCCAAGAACCGCTGTAATGCAATGTTTTGGCCTTCGCGTGGAATATATAGCTGAGCTGGCCTGCTTGGCGTCTCCACCTGACCTGTTGCAGGGGGGGTACAGGGGGGTCAAACTGGCTACGGTAATCGCCGTAGCCGGATCCATCTGCCCAGCCAACAATCGTTTCCTGTGGCCGGTTCTTCAGGAACAAGCCAGAGCGCGTTTTGCTTTTTTTCAAGCAGTAGGTAAATATTACAGTCAAATGCCTGAAAAGCGGGTATTTTACGGCAGGATTTTAGGCGGTGAAGGGTCAAAACACTCGAGTACTCGAGTACTCGAATACTAAAACCACAAAATTGCAAAAATACCTCGATTTACGTATACGAGATCTGGGCCGCTTCGCTAAAATTAAAGCCTGGCGGCCCTACGCAAGCTTCGGGGCCAGTCTTTAATTTTGCCCTGATCTCGATTCGAGATTAAGAGGGTCACGTGACTTACTTATAATAAAGCTCTTTTATTACCTATAGGCCTTCTAAGCCTTATACTTACTCGTAAAGCTCTCTCTTTCTCTTTACGAACTGCAATATCCCCTAATTATACCCGCAAAGCTCTGTCTTTTCTTTTATAAGCCCTTTTAAGCCTTACTTTTACTTATAAAACCTTCTCCTTAAGTATAGCCATATTGCGCTCGCAAGCTCGCACTAATATGACATATAAGCGTGAGAGAAATTAGTTTTTAAGAGCTTCTATTTAAATATTTAGCTTTTTGCTTTCTATACCGCACTCGCGGGCCCTCCCAAGCCTCACTTGCCCCTGCAAGCCCCTTATTACCTGTACTCCCACTTGCAAAGCTCCCCCTTTCCCCTCGCAGACCCTCCCAAGCCTTATTCTCATCCGCAAAGCTCTCCCTTTCTACTTACGGGCCCTCTAAAGCCCCTTACTACCCGTACTCTCACCCGTAACTCCCTCCCAAGCCTCACTCTTACTTGTAAAGCTCCCCCTTTCCTCCTGCAGGCCCTCCCAAGCCTCACTCCTACCTATAGAGCCCTCCCTTCCCTCTCGCGGGCCTTCCCAAGCCTCACTTGCCCTGGAATTAAAGCTAATAATCATCGCAATATTCGTATTCGTCTATATATAACTCCGCTTGCCTCTCTCTCAGCTCGCAAGCCTGCCTCTCTACTAGTCCGCAAGCTTCTCCTTTAGCCTGCCCTTCTCTCTCCTCCCTCTCCTCCCTCTCCCTCTCCCTCCTCTCCCTCTCTTCCCTCTCTACCCACTCTGCCCGCTTCTCTCTATCCCTCTTCATTTTCCTCCTTGCCTTATCCCTTGCTTTTAAAAACTCATCCGCTCTCTGCCTCTCCTTTAACCTCTCCTCCCACCACGCCTCAAACTCTCCTTTAGGCTGCCCCCTTTTTAAATAATTTTCTCGCGATAACCCCTTCCTCTCTCCCTCCCAAACCCTCCTCTTTGCCTTCCCATCCTCACACCGCTACTGCCGGTCCTGAAGCTCCTGCTCCTCCTCTTGGGTCGGCTCCCGTATATAATTATTAACCGTAATCGCCTGGTACCCTGCCCACCCCCTCTCCTTCTTCCCGGTAGCCTGCTGCCGGAGCTGGATATGATTTGCGAGCTGGATATGGGTCGGAGGAGGATTCGGGTACTAAGTACGAGTTCTAGTTAGGGCTCGATAATGCTTTGCCTTTAAATTCCGGTAATAACAGGGCTCACAGGTAAGAAAGCGGCCGAGATTATAGACCTATAAATAGCTCGAGTAACGGGTTTATAGTTCTAGGAGAGTTAGTTTGTCTATATCTATCCGTAAACAGGTCTATTAACTTACCTATAGCCTGCTCTCTCTCTCCCTCTCTCTTTCCCTTCTTATCTTTCTCCCTCTCTTATCCCTAAATTACTATATAGTATAGGGCCTGCCGCTTAAGGTATAAAGTATATATTACGGTCCGCTAGTTATTCTTTAGGGGAAACTAGAAGATTAACCGAGGGTAGTAATATCTAGGATAATATAATTAATTTAATTCAGGTTAATTTAATTAAGATATTATAAATTAAAGTAAAGTATAAAGTATAAGAAGAGAGAGAATAAAGAGGTAAAGCATATTTAGTATTCCCGTATAGGCCTCTATATAATAGGGAATATTTTCTATAGATTATAACTCAATATTATATAGACGAGTTTAGGGCCGCTTTACTAAAATTATTAATTAGTAGCCCTATATAAGCTCCGGGGCTAATTAATAATTTTGCCCTAAACTCGTCCCGAGTAAAATTAAAATATAATAAAGGCTAGTATAAACTCTTTATAGACCCTTTATAGATAGTATAAGAAGAAAAATAGCCCGTAAGTATATAAAGTTAGTTATAAGTAAGTCAAAAGCTAAGTAAGACCTTATAATATTTCTGGATATATTATATTACTTATATAGTTTATATTAGGAAGTAAAAGAATATAAAGCCCTGCCTATAAGATTACCTATAAGGCTACTATATAGAACTAGTTATAAGAAAAGACTAGTAATTATAAATTTACTCTTACTATCTTAAATAACTAGCCTTATAACTTATTAATAGTTATTATAAAAAATAAAGCAAATAGAAACTACTTACGGAAAAGTATAAAAGATAATTACTAATTTATAAACTAGAGCTTAATCCGTGAAATCGTTCGTAATTAGCTATTAAAGTTATTATCTAGTAGCTATACCCGAATTAAGAATCTCCTAAAGTTATATATTAATATTCATAACCCGTTATAAAGCTCTTCCTATAAATAGAGATTTCGTAAGAGTATTATAGGTATACTAATCTTAAATTATAGTTTAGAGAGAGGTAGACTTAATAAATAGATATTTTATAAGATCTCTAGAGATAATTCTGTAATTTTAGGATCTGCCTTATTTATATTAGTTAAATCTACTATAAAATATATCCGTTTCTGACCAGGAAATATATCCAGGATTATTTAGTTAAGCTTATAGACCGTATTATTTAGGGTTAATAGGATTACCTATTTACTAAAGGCCCGGTAATTATATAGGGCCCGCAAGAGTTGCTTTTGGGAATAGATATAATTAATTAGGTCTGTAATTAACTAGATATATGAAATAAAAGGCGGAAGTATAATTTATTTATTTAAGAACGAGTTATATAGTAGATTACTAATCTAGTCTATAAAATCCTGTTTAGACAGGTTATTATAGACCCATATATTAATCCGTAATAATAACTAATAGAGCTATAGCCAGATCTATATCTATTATAAGTAGGCCCGTATTATATTAGCCCGCAAATTATATAAAACTACTAGTAAGATCTAGGTAAAGTTTCTCCCGAGAATTATAGGTATCTCTCTAAAAAGAATATTATTTATAACTAATTATAAATCGACTATTAGCTAGTATATTACCTTAAAGTAGTACTTATACTATATAGGTACCTCGTTCTAGATAATTAGATTTATAGAATATAAGAGAGCCCTAAGCCGGCTTATCTTAATAATTATACTTATAAATAACTTATTAAGCTTAAACGGAATCCGGAACTAGAAATAAGATATATATTTATCCGGAAAAAAGAGAGCTATAATATCCGTTAATACTATATATAGGACTATCTTACCTTAGCTATAGTAATAATAGTAAAGAGTCTTATAAAGAAATGTCTTACTAGTATTACTAGGGCCTTATAAATAGAAATAGGCCGTCTATAAATTATTTATAATTATTACTATAATTATCTAAAAGCAAGAGTACTAGTCTATATTTAGCTAGGCTTATATTATGGTTATTAGTAATGTCTTATAAGTATAATTAACTTATAGATTAGCTATATAGTAGCTTATAGTCTAGTTAAAGGTATTTTTAGGTAAGGTAATATCCGTAAGTATTTACTAGAAATCTATAAGGCCAAGACCGAGTAAGAAAAGGCTATAATTATAGTAAGGATTAACTAAGAGTAGCAGGAAGTTAATTAATGAATTATAAGTAAGCTTACGGGCCAAATTATTATAGAAATACTTCTTATATTAGTTCTAGACCGCTTATATATCCGTAATTAGTTACTAGCAAATACCTATAAAAAAAAGTATCTATAAACTATAGCCGGTTATTAACTGGATTATCTTATTAAAATACTAGAACTATTCCCGATTATTTTCTACTAAGTCATAAGTAATATAGGTAGTATAGTATATAGGATAACGGATGCCCTTAACTAAATAGAGCTTATTAAAGAACTATAAATTATATATAATTATTAGTAAAAGCTATAAGTAGAACTACTTGCCTAAAACTAGACTATAATAATAAATATAGCTAATACTATACTCTTATTTATAATACTTCTATATCCAGGTCTTAGTAACCTATATAAAATATTATAGGAACTCATAATAGAAATACTAGTAATTATTCTTATATATTATATTATACTTAAAAAAAGCTATTAAGATTAAATAAGTATTTATAGCCCGGTTTATAACTTATTCGGGTAAGAGATTAGCTATAAAGTAGATTATATATTATCTAGGGAAGTAGATTATAAGATATTAAATTAGGGAGAACTCCTAGTATATTAGATATTTAAATAGATACTAGAAAGCCTCTATAGGGCCTATATATTAAGCCTGAAAATACTAGGTAATCTTATTATTTGTTCCCGAAATAATTATAATTATATAATTTATCTTTTTATAGATATACTTATA